TGTGTCCAGTACTAACCTGTGAAGATGGCGCCTTGATGCAGGTACCTCGAAGATGGAGCTGGAGCTATGGCACCACAGGTAAGTACCGCTGGCCACCGCCAGCCATCTCTCTCCAACACTACTACCACTACCAGCTACTAACGCCCTGCGCTGAAGACTACTCCTGCAGCTACTAGCGCCCAGCGCTGAAGACTACTGCTAATGCTAAGTTGCTCCTGCAGCGCTCCTCCAGAGTGTTGCGGCCGAATCCTGAAGACTACCTCCTGCCTTCTGTCCAACTACCTGCCCGTGAAGTGCATGGGAACTGCCTATGTACTACTCGGCCTGCCTCCTGACTGCAGGGCGAGGCAGTCCAGGAGGCTGCTCTTGCCAATGCCGACGAGAGCCAGGGGCTGCCGCTGCAGCTCCTGCTTGAGGCAGTTCGTGGGAACAGGCTAAAGATAGCCTGTTCCCGAAACCTTGCTTTTGTGCCTGAGTGTTAGGGCAGGTCGATCTTATGAGGGCCCGAAAGTGGCCCTCCGTTTCAGGTTGAAAAGCCTTAGGGCTGAAAAGCCCTGTTATAGGCTGAAAACGAAATAGGGCCTGCAGGCCCTCGTTTTCAGTTTTCAGGATGAAACGACATGGGGCCTGTAAGCCCTGATTTCTAGGCTCTTAGGCTTAGAATGTGGGACGGGCCCTGCAGGCCCGTGTGGCTACGCAGTATGCCACACCCCCCCCTCCTTGAAAGACCGAACTTACCTGCGAGGGCGAAGCTGTCTGTCCGAGGGAGGGACCACAGTCCGGGTGGGAGGGGCAGGTCGTGAAGTTCCCTGAGCTAACCTTTGTCGCTCGTCATGAGCGTAGATCAGCAGTGCGGATGCTTTCAAATCTGTTCCTGAAATCCACCGAGTGTCGTTGGGATCGCATGCTCTGAATGTAACTTTATACCGACGAGGCTTGCTGCCGTACTTGCGATCCGTGATGACGCGGTCAACTTCTTGATGACCATCCATAGATGGAGGGTCCTGCGATCGTCGGCCCGGGAAGTCGTCGCTCTTAGCTGGTGTATATGTTGCCAGCTTCGAGGTGTGAAAGACTGGATGGACCGTCAGATGCGCGGGGATGTTGATCACAAATGAAGGGCCATCGGGCTCATCGCCCGCGGCTGATGTTACAGGCCATGGTCCAAATCACTTGGGAAGCAGTTTGAGTGAAACATCCTGTTCCAGTGCAAACTCTTCCGCGGAGACCCAAATCAGATCACCGGCGTGGATGGGACATGGCACGCGACGCCTGTTGGCTTGCTCCTGCATGCGGACTTGAGCCTTTTGCATGTTCGTGCGGGCTTGAGCCAGCAATTCCCTGTACTTCCGGACGGAAGCGGGGGAGCAAGCGGCGTCGATGTCGGCTGGTCGTGGGAGGAGAAGGTCGGCGAAGATACGGCCTTTCCGTCCACCGTGGTGCAACTCGAATGGAATCACGCCGATCGCCGGGTGCACCGAAGTGTTGTAGGCGAACTCGATGTCGGGGAGGCGGTCAACCCAATCTTTCTGGTCCGGACGGATGAGCGTACGAAGCATCATTTGAGCGGTTTGATGTGCCCGCTCCGTTTGCCCGTCCGTCTGTGGACGCCGAGCCGAACTTGGTTTCATCTTCGTGCCGGACTCTTGCATGAAAGCGGTCCAAAATGTCGACATGAAGCAAGTGTCGCGGTCGCTGACTATGTCTTCCGGTACACCGTGGCCGCAAATCCAACCGGTGTGCAAGAGGCGTGCCAGCTCGGGAGCCGTGGAGTAGTACTTGCAAGGGAGAAAATGCGCATACTTACTCAAACGGTCCACAACCGTGAGGATACCGTCGTGCCCAAGGGGATCGAGGGGAAATGGTCCAGTGACATCCATGGCAATGGAGAGGCCGACCTCCAGTGGGATAGGCATCGGGCGCAACTCGCCATACGGGTTGCGATTGCGGGGCGTGCTTAATCGGCAAACTTCGCAAGAGTCGGAATACCGAGTGGCATCGGTAATGAGGTCGGGCCATCAGAATCGTTGTTGACGCCGTGCAATAGTGCGGTTGACTCCGAAATGGTCGGCGAGTCGTGAGTCATGGTACTCCCCGAGAAGGCGAGTCCGAAGACGACGATCTCGTGGGACACACAATAAGTCCTGCCTCTCGAGTGGAGGAGCAAGTACCCGTCGGCAATGCGTTAGTGGCTGGTCGGCGGGTGATCCGAAGATAGCTGCACGTACAACGTGGCGAAGTCCGGATCAGACTCATGTCCCCGGATGAAGTGTCGCTGAAGTTCCTCGTCGAATGCGAAGGCATGATGTGTCATAGCGCAAAGATCGGGTCTTCGCGAGAGTGCATCTGCTGCGCGATTGGAAAGGCCGGGAAGATGTTTCGGTGTGAAGTCAAATTGGTCGATGAAGTACATCCACCGTCCGATCGTGCTGCTCACCGTATCCTGCATCTTGTAGTAGGTCAATAGGTTGTTGTCCGTGACCCATGTGAACCTACGACGCCCAAGGAGGAAGTGCCGCCATCGCTTGAGAGCCATCACGAACGCGAGCAACTCCTTCTTCCTTGCATCATCAAGCGAGTTGATGGGAGGCACTTTGTGGCTGAAATACTCCACAGGGTGCCAGTCGTCGCCGTCGTGTTGTTCCAAGACTGCCCCAATGCCATAGCCGGAAGCGTCAGTTATCACTCTTGTAGGCAGGGTGGGGTCATAGATGTTAAGGACGGGTGCCATGAGCATGGCCGTCTTGAGTGCTTGGAATGACCGGCGTGCGTCGTCATCGAATACGAATGGCACCTTTGGCGATTGTAATCTCGTCATAGGTGCAGCGATCCTTGAGTACCCGGTGATGAATCGCTGATAGTAGCCCGCCAATCCCATGAATGAACGAACGTCCGTGGTGTTGGTGGGGTCGGGCCATACGCGGATGACCTCAATCTTGTCCGCGAGCGGACGGATGCCTTGCGGCGTCACATAATGTCCTAAGTACTCCAGCTCCTGCCACACGAATTCGCATTTGTCACGGTTGGCTTTGTACTTGGCTTGTCGTAGCCATTCCAAAACGGTGCGCAGGTGTTCCGCATGCTTGTCCAAACTCCGGCTGTACACCAGGATGTCGTCGAGGTAGATAAGTACGAATCAATCCAGCATGTGTCGGAACTCCGTTGTCATAGCCGCTTGGAAAGTGGCTGGGCCATTCGTAAGGCCAAATGGCATAACCAACCATTCGAAATGCCCATATCGCGTCTTAAACGCGGTCTTGTAGCGGTCCTCCTGCCGAATCTCGAGATGGTGATATCCGGACTTGAGGTCTAGCTTGGAGAAGAACTTGGTGCCGCCCAGCGGTTCGAGAAGGTCGTTGATGCATGGAAGAGGGCCGGCGTTCTTGACCGTTTGCGCGTTGAGCTTGCGATAATCGATGCACAACCGCAAATCCTTGTTCTTCTTCCGGACGAAGAGGACAGGAGCACGGTATGGCGATTAGCTAGGCTGAATCCAACCTTTCTCCAGAAGGTCGTCGAGTTGTGCCCGTAGCACACTTAACTCTTCCTCGCTCATTCGGTAGATGCAACCACGCGGAGGTACAGCCCCGTCCTCTAGGATGATCTCGTGGCGGATGGGCCGATCCGGTACTACTCCATGCGGGCCTTCGAACACGTCGCCGTAGGCGTCGAGAAGCTCGGTGATGCATGGGTCCGAAGATGAGTCCGTCGATGAAGCGTCATGGGGCGGGAGGGCGTGGAGAAAACACACCCCCATCTCCTCGATGTCGTCTCTAATGATGGAAGCTCGCATGCTTGCGGCAAACTCCACGTGGCAGCTGATCGAAGGGTGAGGAAGAGGCACCGTGCATGGGACTAGTACTCCGTTTCGATCACGAATGTGAACGGTGCGGTGGTAGAAGTTCACCGGGTGATCCTCGCTTCACAGCCATGACATGCCCAAGATCATGTCGGATTTGGTGTCCAAAATATCAAAGGACACCGCCTCGCTTACATGCGGGGCAAAGTACACGGGGACGGCATCAATGCACCGATCGATTGACTTGTGCGTGTGACCGTCTGCCAACGTGACTTGCGTAGGCTGGGACTTCCTCCGGACGCGTGAGCCAAGGCCGGCGCGTACCATAAAGTCCTGGCTCATGTAGTTGCGAGATGCTCCGCAATCGATCAAAGCACTGCAGGTCGCCTCTCTGATCTGAATGCGTACATATAACAATGGTGCGTCGATGTCGTCGTACCGTTGTGTCCTGAACTCGCGGTCGATCTTCACAATGTAGGCGAGAAGGTCGACAACCTCTACTCTGTCGTCCATCAACGGAGTTGGTACTTCGGTGTGCAAGTAATCCTGCAATTGTGCCATGAGCACATTGCAATGCAGTTTCGGCAATCGACCGGTCGGGGGAACGGGCATCCATTGGAAGTCCGCGAACGTCAACGGGTCGAGCTCTCAACATGCTCCTCTACAGTCTTATTAAAGATAAGAATATCGTCTAAGTAGTCGTGAAAGATCCGGTTCATTGCCTGCTGAAATGTCCTAGGAGCATTGCATAGGTCAAGGGGCATCACCACAAACTCGTACAGATCGTACGTGGTTTGAAAGGCGGTTTTATGTTGATCCTCAGATCTAATAGCAATCTCATGGTATCCGGAGTTTAGATCTATCTTAGTAAAATACCGGCATCCCTGCACTCTATCCAAGAGGTCGTCAATGTGTGGTAGGGCCTCTGCATTCTTAACGGTGATGGCACTGAAGCCCCTATAATTAATGCACGTCCTTAGGGTCCCCCCTTTCTTTGGGACAAATAAAATTGGTGCTCCGTAGGGGGACATACTTGGCCGAATCCAGCTCTTCTTTGTGAGCTCCTTGAGCTGGCGGCGGAGCTCATCTAACTCCGCAGGAGACATTCCATAGATTCGTCCTCTAGGTACTTCGCTACCGGGAACGATTTCTATTGCATGGACAGTCTCCCTTTCCACCATACCCCTAGGCTCCTAAAAAAGGTCTGAATATTGTGCAACGACTGCTTCTATCTCTGGGGGTGATTTTACGACCTCCCCTTTCTTAGAGACAAAGACTAAGTACATGCCTTCCTCGCGATTTTGCTTGTAGTAGTTATAGAAAGACGACACCCACATGCAACCATAGTTCTCCACTAGTCTGCTAGCCTTAAACTTTTGCAGCCTAATGGTCCTTCCATCTGACAACTTGTGGATCATCACCTTCCTATCCCAATCGAAATGAGGTTTGCAACCTTGAGGTAGTACATGCCTAGTAACATGTAGAAATGGAAGTTCGTTGCTAACAAGGAACGAGATTTTATGACTCAGTTCCCCTCCTCCATAGGAGAAGGTGCAGACTGCGTTCTTGACATAGTCATTTACTACCATAGAGTGCTTGTTGGCTAAGGTAGATGCTACAGACCTGCTAAGCCGTTGCACTTGGTCCCCTAAGCGCAACCTATCCACACAAGCACGACTGATGACGTTTCACGTAGAACCTATGTCTGCGAAGGCGAACCTTTCGGCCACCTATATTGACTTCTATCACAAAGTGTTCACCTTTTGGACCACTGTTCAACATCGCCCAGGAGTCTCTAGGGTCTTTCTCTAACCACTTAGTTTCTAACTCTAAGGACTTAGACACATCCATTGAACAAAGCATCAATTGGTCTAGATTTATCTGCGAGGCGATCAATGGGTCAATAGCCTTGGCCTTCATCTGAAATTGAGAAGGTAAAGTTACAACTTCAGCACAAGAAAGAGCGGCTAACACTCCTACTGGCCTGAGGTATTTCCCTGCGGAGTGCTCGCAGAAGCACCACCAGAGTTTGAAGATCCGACCGTCACTATTGAGGGCACGACCTTCGTGACCCGCTTACTCTTCCACTTTGCCATGGTGTGTCCATACTGGCCACAGTTTAGGCAAGCGCCTCATGCAATGCGGTCTCGCCACACCTCGTACTCTAGACCAAGCTTTACCCAAATGGGTGTTCCTTGGTCGTATTGACCCTTGGGCCAGCTTGTCTTCTGTTTTCCGCGCCCCCCTTAGCTTTTTCCCTGACAAGAGCGACTACTCCACCATCTGAAGTATCTACACCCCCATCTACCTTTGTTTCTTCCCCAAGGTTAGAGAAGTCGTCAATCTTAGTCGCTTGACCGTTGTGGTCAATGAACATGAGGTTGCCCTTCTTTCTCCAGTCCTAAGGGAGCTTCTTCTTCCTTTCATCCATAGGTCCCTGCTGGGCACTCCCAAGCTTAGCCTCTATGTCTAAGGCTTTCTTGCTGAACGAGCCGAAGTTATATACATCTATGGAGGCCTCGTCAACCAACTTATTTTTGACATTTGTGGGCAAACATCGCAAATAAGTTGTGAGGAGAACCTGTGGATTGTACTACACACCATGGACAACAATCAGTCATTCGACGGCGTCTGTAACTTCACGAACTGTCCGGTATCTTTTTGATCCTAGACTAGCTAGCGAGTCGGCGGCCTTCCGAGCCCCTGGTGGTCATGCCACCTATCATAGACCATTCATATGAACTCTTCCAATGTCCAGGCCTGTGCCCAAGCATCGTAGTTCTAATTGTATCCTTGTTACTGTACTAATCCATTCAGCCATCTGGTTGCAGATCCTTCTAGAAAGGATGCAGTGACTATAACTTCGTCCTCGGTCCTTATAAGCTTATGCCTCACATACGTGGGCACAATCCTCACCTAGGTATCTAGGTCCTCTTCCTTCTTCTTGTCGCCACAAAAGGGTTTAGGACTCAACAAGGGTAGCTTAGGGGTCCACTGCATGGGTTGTATAACACTGTGCCTGCTGCATTGGTTGTGAAACCAATGGACCAGTCTGTTGCTGCAGCACTCGCTGCCGCAGAGGAAACTGTTGCACGGGCTGCTGTACATGCGGTTGTCCTGTAGCCGCAGCCGCTGATTGTGGAAGCAAAGAAGTTAAGGAATCTGCCCACTACTATTTACTACTAGACTGCCTGATAGGGGCATGCCAAACTGAGGAGAAAAGGGTTGCCCTATCGATTGCAGCATCACTGTGGGACCTGCAACCGTAGGGGGAGCTACAATATATTGTGGCTACCTGACTTGAGGTCGTGGCGCCCGCAGTGCAGCCAGAATCTGATTCTGACCAGCTATAAGTGCAGCCAGCATCTCTTGCTGAACAACTTGTACTTCGGCAACACTCAAAAGGGAGTTCCGAAGGGACAACGTTACAGGATCGAGGGCTGACTCATTGATAGCTTGCCTTACTCCTCTCCCCTTGCCTCTAGTCTAGCTTTTCTAAGTCTTGCTCTTTCTCTCCTACCTTCTACCTCCTACAACTAGCGTCATAACTCTGTGTGGAGGGCATCCACCTATTGGATCTCATAATCCTCATCTGACATGGGCTGCTGCTGGCTGACCTGCAAGCCAGCAGACTGACTAACGAAAACTTGGGAGACACTCTGACTGACACTTGACGAACAGGCCTGATATGAGGCATGTGGCATGGTAGAGGCGGTAGCCATGGCTGCCTCAGCGTTGCCTCTAGCGTTTGCTTCCAGTGCTGCTGCTAGTGCCCTTTCGGCATTTGCTGCTGCTTCCCTAGCCCTCTGCAATGTCGTCCTCTCTCAGGCTTCTCTCCACAGTCTCCTTTCCTCTCTGTGTCCTAACCCTAGGAAAGTGATCGGTCGATTGAGTGCCCGCCTTCTAGTGACCCTCCTATCGTCTTGGTCTAGTCCCTCAACCCCACTGTCATCTCCACTCATGAGCTACACGTGGTCTAGGATCTGCACTAGTGTCCTCGCTGGGACCTACGGCAGCATGGCAACCAACCAATTAAAATAAAATAAAATAAATACTCGGTGCAGCTTTGTCAGAAAGTAGTCAAGCGGTAATAGCAGATAATCTCAAATTCCTACAAACAACTTTATTCCTACTTTTGATTAGTCTGAGGCAGATTGCAATGCATCAAGGAATGTATACTACCTATCTGCATATGTCTGTCAGTTGTTAGCAGTGTTTGTCACAACTAACTAATCAAAAATAAAAATAAAATTATTTGTTGGGTTTGCATGTAGAATATAAATTTTTCAATAATAACTAATTCAATTGTCTACTGGTATCTTCCCTCCCCTTGTATCCTTCTTGAGTAATCACTTAGTGTCGACGTCCTGACTATCTGGTTGAGCAGCGTGTCTGAAGGTGTGCAATCCGGCCCGCCCCTATGCCCCAAGTCTATGCTAAGTCGGCCAGCCCTGCAATTTCTTTTATCCTTGCATGCAACGAGCCTTATATCTGATTGAGCTGGCTGATCAAGAGGTAGTTTAAGGACAGCCCCCAAGGTCCTCATGAATTATTTGACGCCGCAAACAGGATGACGATCACAACCAGGATTCAATTCGAAGGCAGAAATATTTATAGACGGTCTGGTATGCGTCTCATGTAGGACTGGCCTGCCCAACACAACCTCTATCAGCGCAGCAAACAGAGCCAAGGACTTGCGGCAAAGCATGTGTGTACTAGTCCCAGCGGGTTGGCATGGTGACCGTGACCCGAGTGCTTCGTTCATGGCTCTTCAGAGGCTTTGTCCGTCTCCCACCAGCTTGATGCCCAAGAAGAATGTCGACTCTCAAGGTTGAGCGCTCGCAACACCTCACAATGAGAGGACTCTCAACACAGAACTCACTTCCTCACAGTAAGAAGTAACAAAGAGGGTAGATAAGGTAAGGAGCAATGTAGCTCATTGTGCTGCCCCCAACCACAAATTTCTCACCAGTAACCTAACTTGCATTTATGATGACCGGTCAACGCCTCGACACAACCCACAATGCAATGCAGTTCCACCTTGGCTTAAATTGCCACATCAGCAAGCTCTCATCATCCAGCGTGCATCCCTATGTCTGCACATAGCCTTCCCGACACCCACACGACCCTGGGCCGCCTCCCACCAACGCACAAGCGCTATCACTGCCCGACCACTATCCAACAAAGCACCAAACAGCTATTGCGAATGCCGCCAGCAGAGCGGTTTGAACCAGCTCCGATACCACATTGCAAGGAAAATGAGCAATAGCGAAATGACAGATTTCAGATTGCAAAATCACATTGAAAGCCAGGAAGTCCGACATTGTGCAGAAAGCAGAATTGCACCGATATTACACTAGTGGAGAACCAAAACACTGAATCTGAGTGTCAATGAGAGCATACTCTCGCCACCACCAACGCAGGTACCCAGAGCCCTTCTCCTACTTGGCGCTCAACGCCCAGACTATTATCACGCAGCTACTACCAGCCTACGAATTGACAATGCTTCTGTTGACGTCAGCAGCAGAACTGAAGTACATGAAGATGTCGACCCTTGCAAGCTTGCCAAGACCAGGTATGTGCCCTCACGTCATCATCCTCATCTCTCTCTCTCTCTCTCTCTCTCTCTCTCTCTCTCTCTCTCTCTCTCTCTCTCTCTCTCT